CTACCCAAAGCACATTGTTCCTCGTTTTTTCGCATTGAAGACTCTTTTCGGCTGCAAAACCCTCTAGCCTAAATTCTTGCATTTCTCACCCCAAACTCAAAGATGGCTCTCCAATTTTCTCTTCTCACGCTCCAATTCATCGTTCTTCCTTCTCAACTCATCCAATATCTCCTCTCCCCACTTTCTTCATAACATCATATACATCCTCAGCAATTCCCAGTCTCTCAGCCATCACACATTCATATCTATTTTTCCTACATTTTGCGTAGCTCGTCCTTAAGCCGTATTTTCTCCGAATTTAGACACTTAAACTCATTTTTAGGCCACTTACTCTAGCTCCTTATGTGCTCGATCTCGTGGTCCGATTTTCTCTACATCGCTCCTAGAGCCTTCTAAACTTCAAGGAAGCAATGGGCTCCGACATGGAGCAATTATGGATGCCCTCGACGTTGCTGATGGAGGAAGTAAAATCCGTGTACTAAGTCACAGCTCATGGCAACTCATGATACAAAAAGCATATAAAACTTACCACGCATGAACGCAAGTAGAGTTTTGAAAAGGATGAGGGAAGGGGAGAGGAAATGTGGGATCCAGGAAAACATGTGCCGCCACTTATCGTCCATTTAACGGGCCGGCTCCATAGTCAGTATGTGGTAAGTTTCTGATGTGGGTCAAAATACGATTTTACTTCCTCCATCGGCAACATTGAGCACATCCATAGTCACTCCGTGTCAAAGCTCATGGCTTCCTTACTATTGGTCTTTAGATATGTATTCTTCGAAGAAGTCTAGAAAGTTCTAGGAGCGATGTAGAGAAAGTCAATCCACGAGGTCGAGCACCTAAGGAGCCAGAGTGAGTGGCCCAAAAAATGAGTTCACGCGTCTAAATTCAGAAAAAAAAAATACGTCTCAAGGACAAGCTATGGAAATGTAGGACGAGTAGATTTGAATGTGTGGCTCTCGTAAAATCACTGGTTCCCCTCCTTTACTATCCAAAACACATTGCTCTTCATTTTTTGGCATTGAAGAGTCTTTCCGGCTGCAAGACCCTCTGGTCCAAATTCTTATATTTTTTCCCTCGAACTCGAAGCCAACTCTTCAATTTTCTCTTTTCGCCCTCCAATTCATCGTTCCTCCTTCTCAACTCATCCAATATCTCCTCATCTCCCCACTTTCTCCATAACAATATCATATACATCCTCAGCGATTCCCGGTCTCTCAGGTACCACACATTCATATCAACTCATCCTACATTGTCATAGCTTGTCTTTGAGGTGTATTTTCTCTGAATTTAGACTCTCAAACTTATTTTTAAGCAACTCACTCTAGCTCCTCAGGTACTCGACCTCATGGTCCGACCTCCACTATATCGCTTCCAGAACCTTCTAAACTTCCTTGAAGGATACATTTCTAAAGATCGATTGTAAGGAAATAATGAGCTTCGACGCTGAGCGATTATGGACATCCTCAACGTTGCTGATGGAGGAAGTGAAATCCGTGTTCTAAGCCACAGCTCATGGCGACTTAAGATACAAAAAGCATATGAAACTTACTATGCATGAACGTGGGGAGAGTTTTGAAAAGGAGAGGGAAGGGGAGAGGAAATCTGGGATCTAGGATGCCATGTGTCGTCCTTTGAATGGGTCGGCCCCACGATTCGGATGTGGTAAGTTTCTAATGTGGATTGGAACACGATTTCATTTCCTCTATCGGCAACGTCGAGGACATCCATAATCGCTCCGTGTTGGAGCTCATGGCTTCCTTACAATCGGTCTTTAGACATGTATCCTCCGAGGAATCTAAAAGGTTATACGAGCAATGTAAAGGCAGGTGAACCATGAGGTCGAGCACCTAAGGAGCCAGAGTGAGTCGATCAAAAATGAGTTTGAGCGTCTAAATTCATTGAAAATACGCCTCAAGAACGAGTTACGGAAATGTAAGATGAGTAGATATAAATGTTTGGTGGCTGAGAGACCTAGAATTGCTGAGCATGTATATGATGTTGTTATGGAGAAAGTGGGGAGAGGAGGAGGTATTGGATAAGTTGAGAAGGAGGAACGAGAATTGGAAGGTAAGAAGTGGAAATTGGAGAGTCGGCTTCGAGTTTGGGAGAAGAAATACAAGAATTTGGACCATAAGATCTTGCAACCAGAAATACTCTTCAATGCCAAAAAATGAGGAATGTGTTTTGAATAGTAAAGATGGGAACTAGGGGTTCTGCAAGAGCCTCATGACAATGTGGATCCATGTGTCTATGGTGGCTCTACTTGCCATAGAAATGATTCAACGAATGACGGAACTGTCTCCTTCGTGCACAATGCGAGGAAGACTCTAGATTTTGCCATAGGTGCTTGCTTGTTACTAGTAGTGGATTCAGCTTAAGAAAGGAAAATGGATCACAATATTTCCGTTGAGATTTGCTCATCAGCTCTCGTTTCTGATGGATTCAACATATTTTTTACCAAATCTGTTTGGGACATGACTTTTGTCAAACACCATGAACAGAAGGATATCCAAGTCTCCAAAAACAAGTTAAATGTGTTTAACTACATTGCCCACGAAAATAAGGTAGGCTCAAGTACCGTTAAACCGGACAATGGCAATTATTTGCATGGTAGAGAATGGAAGAATGTGGAAGAGGTGCTTTAGATTTGGGTGCTTTACATTTGAATCGAGACGATGAGCTATGTATGAAGGCCGTCCATGCTCTTTATAGACAGCAAAATCTAAGCCCGGAAGGCAATACAAAATAGCATTTGTCAAGCAATAGCCTTCGTGCATTAAGCTATTAACATTCACACAGCGGCCACATCAAGTTTTGTTTTTCCCTATATTAGTTCCTCCGTATATAAAAGTTTCAGTTTTAATTTACCATGAAGCATGTTGAATCTCAGTTACTATCGTAGTCTCGCTAGTGTAAGGTCTCATCTCTAGAATCACCAATCCATGTCTAAAAGAAAAGACAAGACACAAACCGAAACAAACAACATCTCGAATGGACTTCCTGAAGCTATAGAGTTCAAAATTGTACCGAATCAGAAAACATGAGCATGTGCAGCAACTATGAATTCAATTCCAGCATACTAGAAGTTCAATCACGGTGCAATTTTCAGGAATTCATAATCACGGACCATAAACCAGTAACCACAATCATCAGTGCATCACTTGCACAATTACACGATGGCACATACCAGGACATATGAACAGCAAGCGTGCCCAGAATAGACATTATTTGTAACTCAACATGGTACAAACTCAACATATTGAGTACATCAGCAATTGAATGCGTTTGAAATGGACATACACCGAGACAAACGTGATCAACCAACCAAAACCAAGCTGGTTATAAGCAAATAGTAATCCCGATTCGAAGCATTAACAAATAACTCGATGCGTACATGATGGAATCGAAACATATGAAACTTGACATCAACACAATCGATCAACAGATAAGCTTCTAGCACAAACGAATCTTGATTAAACATTCAACAGGCGACCCTACATCAAGGTACAATAACCCTGATCAGGTAATTGGCGTGGGGAGGTTTCGGTCGTGGCTTATAGCATCGCAATTCGAAGCCATGATGAGAAGATCGAACACATGGATCTCAGTTTGAACACACAACGATCAACCAGACATCAATGTGTTAGAACATTTCCCAGATTCTTCACTAATTTCACTCGGGCATATGATCAAACACATGGCAGGCGTCTTAGTCGCAAGAACCAGATGCAACGACGATGCAAAGATTTCAGATCCATACCGCCACGAAATCGTCAGGGGCATGTTTAAACTCCTAACGGATCCTCCATTGGAGATGGTTTTCCTTCACGAACCGCGACTAGAATTCTCGGATTCAGTTTCGCCGACACAAAAGCGCGAAGACAAAAATACCTCGACGGCGCAATCATCGGCAGCGAATGATGGTCAAGCCAAGGGATTGGAAGCCCCGAGAGCGTCGCGACCGAAGATCCGGTGCCTAGCCTCTAATGCTTCGCTCGAATTCTTCTCCGGCGAAAAGAATCGGTAGCGATAGATCAGGGAGCGCGGTGGCCTGACGTCTACTGGAATTCACGAGCCGATCGGTCACCGGAATGTTACAGCAGAGAGAGAAAGACGACCGTGGAAGAAGCCTGAGATCGGCGTCTGAAAGCAAGAGGAAGATACGACGCCGATGCGGCGGCGGCGGCGGCGGCGGCGGCGGGTCGAATCGGCCGTGAACGCCGGCGACCCTTGAATCGGCCAAGAGCGAGAGCCGGGAAGATGGGATTCTAGAATTTTCTTCCTCTTATCTTGTTTGAATAGGGAGCCTGTGTATATCTTTACGGTTAGCGTAATAGTTGCTCATCTGAAACCCAGAAACAAGTAACTGATTTTGTGGATTCACGTCACGAATCAAAACTCGACGGAACATAAAAATCTTGGCTCATCAGCTGTGACTCCTACATAAAAAATCAAACATCGCCTGAAGTGAACTTCCATCTGCTCAAAAAAAAAAAAAAAAACAACAACTTCCATTGCTCATAAGTTTGAACGAAGAGAGACAGGAAGTGCCGAAGTGGGATCGAGTATTTTTTTTTTTTTTTTTTGCAGGGACCCAGTAGTTCATTAATTGGGCCGGCCTATGCAAAAAATCATTATAAACTTCAAATTACGCACGACAAATTTATTCTCTTTTTTTTTTTTGTGACATAACACAATGTAACACATTCACTTTATATTTTTTTTAAAATTTGTATTTGCATGACATATTTATTTAAATTTATATTTGCGTGATATATTTAACCTCCAAAATTCAATTAAATGATTTTTCAGTAAAAATAATATCGTTTTTATTTCAAATCTAATCATAATTATTAACGGAATATTGACATGAATATAAATTTAAGATTTTTTATATAAAAATATTAAGATAAAATGTGTCACACTAATCATAAACATAAACAGAGGCTTTTCCCCCAATCCAATATTTTCTCTTTATTTTCACGCTCTTCTACGAGTTCATCTCCAGTCCAGGCTTTCTACCTCCCCTGTCTCAACTCTCGAAACTCTCGTCCTCCTCGCACGACCACCACTCAGACCTCCACGCACGACCGCCACTCCGACCACCACGAGCGACGCTCCGGCCTCCAGGCTACCCGACCGACGACCGAGGTTGGTGTTTGCCTTTACAAGAATTCCTCTTCTTTATTCCTGTTCGACCAATCCTGGGCAAAAGCCTTGTTAAGCATTGTTTTCTTGTGTCGTAACAGGTCGGATTGTAGTGGGTATTGTTTGTGCGGGGAATTTTTTCGAGATGAACATCTTATTGAGTTAATGATCACGTAATCTTATATTTCAAGGTAATTTGATGAATGGACTTTTGAAGGAGAGCGGTTTTGGAGTCGGATGAGTTGGTTGATGCTTGTTTTGTTTGCTGCGTTGTTGATTTTGGTGTTGGATTGGATGAGATGGTGGCTGTGGCCAGGTTGGGTTGGGTTGATGCTTACTTTAGTTGCTGCATTGCTGATTTTGGTGTTGTGTTTGATTGAATAATGCTGGATTTTGTGTTTCGTGCTTGTTTTCTCCTTTTTTTATGTTTAGATGTCTTCACTCGCCAATTACGGAGGCCCTAAAGTTGAAAGTGAAAATGGGAAAGCGATGCCTACGACTATCTCAACTCCTCTGTCTGCTAGTGGAGCGTCTCTGATTCTAATTCCTAGCCTGACCCAAAACTAGGTATTAATCACTCTTTTTTACTTTCAATCACATGTTATATCATGCGCGCACAGAAATTTGGCCTTTTTTCCATATTGGTTCTTAGGTATATGTAAAAGCTTATGATTTAGATGCAAGCCGAGCCTTTTTTCTTCTTTTTCTTTTTCTTTATACTTTTTGTTCGGTTCAGTTTGTTAGTGAACTATGATGTTTCGTTTTCTAAGATTCTCTTGCATTAGAGGATGGTTTTGATGGAATTTATATTAGATGTTATATTCATGTGTTTTTTAGCTAATGTTGCTTTGTGTTAGAATTTGTGCTTGCTGGAGATGGGGAGAAATCATAAGCAGATGAATTATTATCCGTGACTGAAGACACCAGCCCGATTCCATGAAAAAGCGCAAACTTATGGTTTTAGAGCAATTCTGGCACGAACTTTCATTTGTCTAAAAGAAAAGCACACACTTCTAATTGGGGTCCAAATCCGGCACCCTTTGAGTTGCCGTCCAGATCCAACGTCAAAAAAGTGACATGACGATGGACGTGGACCGTGCGCATCCCGTCGTTGCTAATTAAACGTCCAAATCAAAGAAACGACACCATTTCTTCAAGCCTTCATTAAAACTAGTGGCTTCTCTCTCTCTCTCTCTCTCTCTCTCTCTCTCTCTCTCTCTCTCTCTCTCTCTCTCTCTCTCTCTCTCGTTCATCACTTGCGGCAAGGGTTGTTGATTTTGGGGGCATAATTGGGTTTCGGGGGACAAAAACTAAGGGTTTGGCTCTTTGAAGAGGACATCAGCAATAATGTCATTGATTGGAAGTAGCAACAGACATGGCAGGGCATTGAACAGCTTCACCAGAGCATTGCTCATGACTCTACACGTCATGGACTGAAACAAAACTGGCTAGGAGGTTTTATCGTTGTTCATGGTGTCAATTCTTCCAAATAATTCAAGGTGCAAGCTCTATCAATTGTGGGAAATTTTGTAGGGAGAGTGTTCTTGAACCTTAATTTTTTCCCCCAATTTCGGCCATAGAGAGAAAAGAAGCCGTTATAAATGAAGGCTTGAAGAAATGGCGTCGTTTCTTCGATGTGGACACCACATCAATAACAGCATGGGGCACACAATGCAAATCCAACAGCACGTCAAATTTTTAATGTTGGATTCAGACAGGAGCCTGTGCTAGGTCTGGACTCTGATAAGAAGTTTGCACTTTTTCTTAAACAAATGAAAATTCATGCCAGAATTGGGCAAAACCCAAAACTTTGTGCTTTTTTGGGAAATTAGGCCTTCAGGACGCTAGTACTAAATTGCTTAGCTATGTTGCTTTCAGGAGGAGTAAGGTAGATTTTAGTTGTCGGAGACGAGTTAATCTGACTTGGAATATGTTTTTGTTGGTTTATACTAGAGGTATTTTTTTTCCATTCTTCCTGTTGGCATGTTGTTCCCATTGCTTAGCTGTGTTGCTTTCAAGAAGAGCAAGGTAGATTTTAGATGTTGGAGACAAGTTAATCTGACTTGGAATATAATTTTCTTGGTTTATACTTCAGTTTGTGCATTTGTTCTTTTCCATTGTTCTTGTTGACATATCATTCCCATTGCCGACTATACTATCTGATTGTGCTAGTGTAATAAATTGTCTCAAGTAATTTGCATTCGGTAACTTGTATTATCGTGTAGCAGCTCATTATTCGCAATTAGTCACGACTGCTTCAAGAGTATAAGCTGTTGCTGTTGAGTGATAATTGGAAAGTAGAGCTATGCAGAACGGCAGTTCTCAAACACCTCGGGTTTGGCATCGTCGGCGTTCCAATGAGGTTTATGAATAGAAGTTTTCTAGATCAACTTTTGCTGCATTTGAATGTTGCCACTGTCTAATAGGTTGATCATTATATTTTGTGTTGTCAGGTTGTTCAAGAAGCTAGTAAAGCAAATGAAACCCATTTGCTTGTTAATGATCAAAGTAAGTACCAGTCGATGTTGGTCCGGGCTTACTCATCTGTTTGGATGATTGGGGGATTTGTGTCAATTATTGACATGGATCACCTTTACATCACTGCCATGATTGTTGTTATACAAATTTTTATGGCAAGAGAACTCTTCAATCTACTGAGGAGAGCCCATGAAGACAGACTTCTCCCAGGATTTAGGATGTTGAACTGGTACTGCGTAGCTTTATATCTACAAGTACTGATTCATGTTTAGGGTTAATGTGCAGCAACTGACCAGCATTAGTGAGGTTGATTATGATAACCATTTCTTATTTAGATGTCTTTGGTCAGGCACTTTTTCTTCACGGCGATGCTATTTGTGTATGGACGCATTCTCAGTCAACGACTTGTCAACACTGTGACATCGGATAAGGTTTTATATCAGCTTGTCAGCAAACTTATCAAGTATCATATGATTGCCTGTTATTCCTTGTACATTGCAGGTGCGTATCAAATGTTCAGATATAACTTGAGCAATTGTGATGGCTCTACTTTTCTTTCTATTAGTATGTGTGGATGATCTGGAGTAACCTGTCTGACTCTCGTGTTCTGTATGATGTCAGTGTATACTTTACTGTTAATTAAGGAAATTGAGAGCGGTCATTGTGGACTTAGTTCTTTCTTCTTCTTCTTTTTTTCTTTTTCTTTTTTTTTTGTCGGACTTAGTTCTTTCTTAAAATGCGATAATTTGTCCATAGAAAGTACTTTGCTAGGGAAGAACAGAAGGCAATTAAAAGTACTGATTATTAGTATGAGGGCAATTTTCATGACAAGTACACTTCCTTAACCATGATGATTCTGTCAATGCCACCCTCTGATCAACAAAAGTTAGGCATGTGCAAACATAACAAGCATACTAATCAGGCTTACTCGATTTTTTAATTTATGAAGAAATCCTAATAAATCCTCTTACATGGACTTCAATTAATGAGACGTGAATAGAATACTTCATTTACCAGTGTTGCCCCAAGATGGTATTTCATATTGTGCACACGCATTGGACTTGCTAGCATGCCTATGGATAATATGGATGGACAATGGCTGGTGTTTTTCATCTGCAGCTTTTGACTTTGGAAAATTGCTGATATGGGTAATCCTTGTTAACTTGAATCAGGCTTTGTGTGGTTCATCCTTACTTTAAAAAAGGGGATGTACAAGTATCAATTTGGCCAGTATGCTTGGACACACATGATTCTCATTGTGGTGTTTACTCAGTCAGCTTTAATTGTTGCCAACATCTTTGAGGGAATATTCTGGTGACCTCTGGAAAGGGAAAGAAAATTCTTTCCTATCCTTTCATCTATTTGAAAGTATGTAAAGATGTATGTCAAACTAATGTGTATGCTGACTGATATGTAATTTTAAGCCCTGCACTACGATTTGTAAATTTACATGTCTTGTAACCCATCTATACTTGTTACGTCCACTTCCAGTCCTAGGTTTGACATTATAATTATATTCTTGTGGGCCTGGAACCTTCATGTAATTTGTTTTATTATTAATCCTTCATGATTGAACTGTCCGGTTTATATTCAAAAGAAAAGATTGAAGTACCTGCTTTAAGGTTTTTCTCTAAGTTCTGCAAGGTGCATGGTCAAGAGAATTATTATGTCCTTGTTTCTTCATCATGGGTTCTTGCGTTGCAGTGTGGAACTTACGTATGGTCAAAAGAATTATCATAAAAATGAAATGATGCAAATCCTCCTCTTGATAGCTCCTCCTTTGTTGAAATTCACTTTACATCATTGATTTTCAATGAAAACAAAAGCAAGCTCTATTTCGCGTTATGGTTTTTTGAGATTGAAGATAATATTTAAGATATTGCCCTTCAGGATTTCTTATGAGTGTCTCTATGTCCGTCTCTATGTTTGTGTCCCCATCTCTTGTTTGCATCCCTTCTATTTAATCACAGCTATGAATAATTCTTCAAGAACATCTTCCATTTAGTTTGGAGAGACTGGACATGGACTTTTTCAGTAAGCATGGATTATCCTATCACTGCATCATGAAGGGGTTTGATAGGTATCTTGAAGAAACTGCAATAATCACTTTTGAAAATCGCTAGCTTGGGTTCACCCTTGATTTGTTTTCCAAATAAGGATACACTTTATATTCTATTCTTGTAGAGTTTTTTTTTCTGTGACATCCGAAGTTTGAGAATTTGATGTCTTATTCACATTTTTTATGTGGTTAAGATTGGTGGTCTTCTCAAGGTTTTGATATATTCGTTAAGTACCCTTGCTATGTGGAGTCATCTGTCATAACGAGCATTCAATTGTATCTTTTAAACAGTTGCTTTTGTGAATAAAACTTTCAGTTCCTAGTCGCCTATTTGGAAATTGATGACATGAATTATTTTACATCGAGGAGTGCTGCATGTTCGTTGTAATATCTCACTCATACATAATTTTGTTACTGGTCCTGCAGGTTTCTTCTTCCTGCAACGCTTATTATAATCAATGATATTGCCGCATATTTCTTTGGCTTTTTTTTTGGAAGAACCCCATTGATCAAGTTGTCTCCAAAGAAAACTTGGGAGGGATTTATAGGAGCATCTTTTACTACTATGATCTCTGCGTTTGTGGTGAGTTGTCAAGATATTTTACCATACCAAAAGAATGGGAGGGATGTCTTGTGTTGCAGCATTTTGGCTGCATGCGTGTGCATAATAACCTAAGTGCTTACCTGTTTTTTGCTTTGGGGTGATGGAAACCTTTGTTGGACTCATGCTCTCCACAATGCTGTTTGTGTCATGATAGGATTTGAGGTCTATATTGGTTTGTTGTGAGACCGGTATTTCTGCCTCTAAAAATCCGTTTCTGTTGTTTTTGTGTTTTACATATATCATAAAATCAATAAAGGACATTAATTGCCTAACAAATCTCAAGTTCCCCACCAAAATACATGCACGTGTCCTTGTGGCTTGTGTAATGATAATATATTTGGATTGTGCTGACTCCATTCCAGTGAGTTTCTAAGGATGGAGAGGTTTCAGTTCCTTGTTGGTATCTATGCAATTTATAACTTAGCTGTCCGACAGGGGTTAAATGTTGCTTCCTGGAATGAACTGTTTGCCATATTCATGCTTTATTAAGGCAAATTGCTTTCTGTTAAGATTTTTATGCATTTGATCCTGTCTGGACTGGTCCTGTGACTTCTCCTTTTAACTTTTTCATGCTTTGAGGGTAACTGGTCACATCTTGGTTTCTATATAATTTTCATGCTGGTGACCTTGACCAAATTCAGTTTTGTGGTAATAATCATGGTATGTTCCCATGTATACATAGCTTGCAAATATTATGGGCCGTTTCCAGTGGCTGACATGTCCAAGGAAGGTAATTACTACGATACACTTTTATTTGAACCCTGTTCTGCTTCAGAATGATCCCAGGCCTTTAATCTCGTTTCTGGATTGATGCAGGATTTATCTACCAGTTGGCTTCAGTGTGATCCTGGTCCATTATTCAGGCCAGAGTATTACACTATACCCAAATGGTTTCCTGAATGGGTGAGTCAATTGCTCTCAATTATAGCACTACATGGCTTTCCAATGATTTGGTTATATACTTTTATTGCTTTCTGTACTATGTTGATACTTGAAGTGGAGATGTCCTTTGTGAGTTGATTTTTGGAATGAATGAGGTCTATTCTAAAGTCCATTCATTCAGTCGGTTTGTGAGTATCCTTGGCGTCCTGTAAAAACCCGGCCTGAGTAGTCCTCTCTTGCATGTTTAAGCGGTTTGAGCAATTGGTTTGCAAAAAAGAAACTTGTGAGAATATTCAGAATCTAAGAGACTTGGCACTAAATTTAAAAAATGTTAAGATTCAGCGACTCTGTTGCTTGTTAATGATGCAGTTTCCTTGGAAAGAGATGGCAGTAATGCCAGTTCAATGGCATGCTCTCTGTCTTGGTCTATTTGCATCAATTATAGCACCTTTTGGAGGATTCTTCGCAAGTGGTTTTAAACGTTCTTTTAAGATTAAGGTTTGTAATTTAGAACATTCCTAATTGGTCCGACTCATGTGATACTTAGGTCTTGACACTCCATTTTGCTCTTTGTGCCTCAGGATTTTGGTGACAGTATTCCAGGACATGGTGGTATAACAGATAGAATGGATTGTCAGGTGACGTAACAATTAACTCAGAACTCTCTTCTATCACTTGAAGTTGCATAGGATCAGTGTTTTACGTGTGATCTGTTGCATTTCCGTCTTAGATTTGCCAATTCAGTTGGCTAGTTTGCATATAATCTTAGAAATAGGTTTCGGTTACATACCTCCGCTGCTTTACTAAGTCAAGCTTCTCTACTTTAGATGGTGATGGCTGTGTTTGCATATATCTACCATCAATCATTTGTAGTGGGCCAGAACTTGATGGTCGAAACGATCTTGGAGCAGGGACAGCGACATAATATATATACATAAATTTTGAACCTATCTAGAATCTAATGTATTCTGTTGGAAGTCAATTTCCCATTGAGAATTTCTCTGCTTGTCGTTGATATCTTGCAGATCCTAATGGACCTTACTCTCGAGGAGCAGCAAGCCCTGTTCATAAAGCTTGGGCAAATTCTCAACGAGAGGATGACCGCACCATCATAAGTGTGCATTACAGCAGTATGCAACCAACTTTTCTTTGTCAACTCATTGTCATCCATTGGCTTTGAGCATATCATGCCCGCAGGAGCTCAGTGACAAAAGGACTCTACATGTGCTGTTGTTTCTGTCTGTTTTTTGCAGCATTCGCGACTGCAAGGGAGGCTATTTGTTGGATGAATGTTTTGTACAGCGTACACAAACCAATCATGCAGGTGAAGTCTCAATCGGTCATATTGGTCTGTGATACTTGTCTGCACTTTTGTCTTCTATTACTCTATTCGTCCCCTTTTAAGGAACAAGCATTAGATGCCTGATTACTGGATCAAATGAAATTATATGTATAGGAAGGGTGAAGATGTAAGTGTCTCACCAGATGAATGTCCCTTAACCCTGCCTTTCAGCATATCATTTATTCTGATTTTATTCCAATTCTCTCTTGCATGGGCTAATCGGGTCTTCTTTAGTTACTTACTTTTGCTTATTGAGTCACAGAGAAATTGTTGTTAATAATTTTTTCGGGTTAAGAACACCAGAATCAACGTGAGCTAGATCGATTTCGCATTGGCATTCGAAGAAATGTCCATGTCCAATCTTTATTCACGAGATTATTCGGCTCGCAAATCTCTCTATCTCTCTCTCTATGAGCAAGGCACATGCCGGCTTCGCTTGCTCCAGTAGATAGCATGGTGTAAGCAAATGAATACGAAGAGAAGGAGCAAAAGCAAACTCTGCAAATTCTCGCTTCCAAACTCTCAAAGACTCCAACAAGATAGAAGTTTTCTATTTACTTACACTGGACTTTAGGCTTCTGAATCTTCACATAGGAAAAAAGAATGACCAACCGTCTCACTACTAAACTTAGCATCGAAACTGACTTTGGGATCATGCATAGAAGCTTGACTTATGAGAAGAGGAGCACTAGATGGGAAACTGAATTAGAGCCTCATCTATATGTGGCGTTACATCTTCCTTTTAGAGAATTTTCTCTCTTTTGTTTATCTTTTGGCCGGAAACATAGATTAAGGATTAAACAAGTATCGATACAAGAAGATCCAACATAGTTTGGGCAACGGATGGCCAAAACCAATATAGCTTTCTTGAAAGAAAAAAGGGAAAATAACTCACAAAAGGTCTCTAAATTTTGATTAAATATGCAATGCCGTTCATGAACTTTTAATTTGTTTAATATGATTTCTGAACTTTAGTTCAATATGCAATGTCATCCTAAAATTATTAATTTGCTTCACGTGGTCCCTAAGTTTTTGTCAAATGTTCAATGTGGTTTTTAAAATTTTTAAACAATTTTCATATAATCTAGGGACAGCATTGAACATTTACTAGTAATTCAGGAACCACATTGAACAATTGGACGTGGTCCTTGAACTTTTAAAACATTTTCATAGAATCTAGAGACCACATTAAACATGCAGGAAACACATTAAACAAATTAAAAATCTAGGGACAAAATTACACATTTGGCCAAAATTGAGAAAATTATATTGCACAAATAAAGTTTAAGGAAACATAGCACCTTTCCTCGGCCCATTGCTGCCAAGAGGCAAATTGGGCCGCAGACTGGTTGGCAAAGGCCCAACACAATCAGTTCTTTACCCAAGATTGGCTTGCCAATCCCCCTGCTCCACTTTGGAATTTATTGTGTTCGAATCTTCTATTTCTTTGTTGCATAGTGCAAGTTAGTAATGAAATCTTATTTTGACCCAAAAAAAAATAAAAAGATGACGTTGCACATTGAACCGAAGTTTATGAACCATTTGTGCTGTCAAGTTTTGAGTTTTGGTCGATTTCTGGGCTGTCAAGTTTTGAGCTTTGGCTGCTTTCTCATGAAGAATCTCTCCTGTTGTCATGATTCCTAGGAATTTCTATGATTGTTCGCTGATATGATTATGCTTAATTTGTGGAAGGAAGATGTAGATTAGCGGGTTTGTGGGTTCGACGCCGAAGATTCTTGGCCTTTCGGGACTTAATTTTGCGACTGTTGTGCTCGAGGGAATTCAGTTTTTACGAATAAAAAAAGAAAAAAGAAGAAAGTAGAAGAAACCGCAAACTGAGCCGAACCAAACCGAACTAAACCGGTTTTTCAATTCGGTTCATATTCGGTTCGATCAAGATTCGGTTCGGTTCAAGGGTGCACCCCTAACGGTTCGGTTCGGTTCGGTTTTTCAGGAAAACCGAACCCAACCGAACCATTTACAACCCTACAAAGCATGACCCAAAGTTAAAGGCTTTTGACAGGAATACAAAATGGATTAGGAATCTAGGATGAGACCTTTGCCCCCATTGCAGGACTTACTTCAATGCGATGCCTCTTTGCGGTTCTGTTGATGGAATTTATATTAGATATACGCCAATAGTCATGGCCACGGGCCGGTTTTGGCTCGGAACCGGCCCGGTCAAACCTGGGCCCGGCCGTTGACCAGGCCCGCGGTTCGGAACCGGAACCGGCCCGTGGCCTACGGGCCCGGTTCCGGTTCCAAAATTTTTTTTTTTAAAAATAATGAATATTTTTTTTAAAAAAATTCATTATTTAATTTTTTTTTATAAAACAAATTGAACTCTAATTGCCATGCATTGTAAGTCCATTTATCTCCAATTACAATGCTTAGCTTGAGTGTATTGAACTCTAATTACAAAGCTTGGCTTGGGTTTTATAAACAACCCCTTTGATAGTCTCTTCATTCCCATTCGATGTGAGACTCTCGGCTTGCCTTGAACACCTTCAATGTGAGACTTTTGGCTTGTCTTCATGCAAATGCCAAGAGTGCCACATCGAATGGAAATGAAGAGACCATCAAAGGGGTTGTTTATAAAATCCAAGCCAAGCCATGAGCATGTGAAGTTGTATGCCTTTTGTGGCTACGATCCTTTGCTAGTTAAGAGCAAAGGGTTCCATTGGACCGCCTAGAACCGGACCGGACCAATGGTCCGGTTCTCGGTTCTATGATTTGCCGATCCGGTTCCTAGTTCTAAAATTAAAGGACCGGTCTTACCGGTTCGGTTCTCGGTTTCGACCGGAAACCGATCACCCCTATAATTTTCATTTTGATTATAATTTATATTGAATAATTCATTATTTCATATTTTTATCATTCATTATTTTTTTATTTTATAATTTATTTTTTTAATCTTTAAATTACGAACCGGAACCGGCCGGTTCCGGTTCACACATGGCCATGAACCGGAACCGCCGGTTCCGAACCGTGGCCATGACTATACGCCAAGAATGCATTCTCGAATGGTATCCCACCAAGGAAGTGTATATGCAACCTCCTAGTAAGGTTTGTCGTCTCTGTAAGATCCCTTTTGTGGATTGAAATAGGCACGACACGCATGGTTTGCCAATTTCAGCACTATTTCGATCCCACTCTAGCTATCATGACAAAGCATTATTTGTTCATAAGAGCAATGAAGACATTCCGTTGATTTTGTTTTATGCGGATGATGTGATCATTATATGAGCTAACACTGGGGAGTTACACATCTGAAGCAATATCTTAGTCATCATTTTGAGACGACAGATTTTTTTGCTTCGTTATTTCTTAGGTATAAAAGTTTCTTCTGATTCAGATAGCTAATATCTCACACAAACCAAACATGTCTCCAATGAAATCTTTCGAACAAGTTTGACTGACCGTGATAAGAAATGAACAAGCACATTCTTCTTTTTTGCTATATGCCTAATTTCAAAGTAACTTTTACCCCACCTGAGCCCAATGCCAAGCTGTACCTTCTTGATGGCAACTTTCTACAAGACGCTATATTCTATCAACGGTAGGTTGGCAGTTTAGTATATCTCATTGTTATCCGTCGTCACATAGCCTTCACGGTTCTTCCGGTGAATCAGATTATGTCTACTCCGTGCTGCATTCACTATGCCGATATAACATATTCTGCATTATATTAAAGGGACCTTATGATATGGTCTTCACCATCCTTCTAACTCCACGGTAAAGTTACATGCCTACTCAAATGCAAACTTTGCTGGGGACAACAATGATCACATTTCTACAACAAGATTTTTGTGTCTTTCTTGGCGGCTCTTTAATTTCTTGGCCTCGTATGAAGCAAACCATATTAACTCTCATTCCAACACCGAATATCATGCTTAGGCTGAAACTAGCGTTGAGCTCGTTCGCTGCGTTGGCTTTTGGAAGACATAGGCATTCCTCAAAATTCACCCACTATTAGTCGGCGCAACTACAAAGTCACCATACAGATCGCCCGAGATGCAGTATTTCATGAGTGCAGTAAACATATCAACCATGACGCGCACTTTACTCGACAGCATCCTCGTCGAGGAACTATCAATCTTGTCCATGTCTCTTATGCAATTCAAACCCCAGACGGTCTACAAAGGCTCCTCCTCTTGCATAATCTTGAGTTTCCTGTCCAAACTCCAACCAGTTTCCGATTAACTTTTGAGGGGTGTTCAGAATATTATAAGTTTTCGTTAGATTGTTCAAGATTGTAATGACTATGCAATTTTCAGTTATCTTCTAGATTAGCGAGTTTCTTTGTTAAACCCTAACTCGCTGTGACATAAGCAATTCCTTTTCCGTTGGTGGAGCTTCTCCTTACCGCCATGGTGATAGTTCCTCCAAGATCATTCAATGCCCTAAACCCTAACTCTCATCCCATCCCTTTTTTCCTCCTCGCCTAAATCCCATACGCCCTTCAATCTCATTTTCCCTAACCAAAATGCATCCTCTAGAGCTGGCCCTGTTTCAAACCCTAATCAGTGGAACAGGGTGGCGGCATTTCTCAGTACAAGCTATATACACTTACCCTCACCGGTCGTAAACCATCCCATATGTATCTGCCCTAAACCCATTTCACCCGAGCCTCTTCCACCCAGTTTATACACAACCCACCCAAACTCATCCTCCACAGTCGGTCATTGGCACTGGTCTCCTGCTTCAAAGATGGGTCTTGACCAACCTCGACAACCAGCAACTTCACAGACTCCCATTTGAGATTGCTAACATATATGAAGGGAGAATCAGTTGATTTTAGTGCTTACTGAGAGCTGGGTTGGTAAAACCTTATTACTGCACTCTGTATTCCTGCATTTTCACCACATCAATAGAAGGTGAGTTTAATCATGAACTCAGATTGGCTGCATTATGTAGACAACTAGGTGACTTGTGGTCTGAGGATTATGAAGCAGATATTGATGATGAAGTCCCCAAGGAAAAATTGAAAGAATGTAAATTGATGCTCATTGGGAAGCTCCATTCCAGACCAAACGTTAACTTCCAAACCTTTCAATCCACTATGAAAAAGGCCCGGAAGACTAAAAATGTCATTTGTGAACCCTTAGAAGAAGGATTGTTTTCCTTTGTTTTCAGCTCAGAGGAGGAAAAAAGAAAAGTATCAAGTACTGGGCCTTGGTCCTTTTCTAGCAACTTGCTGATTTTGAAAGAATGGGAGTATAACATACCAATTCATTGCTACAAATTCTCACATTGTGCATTCTGAGTACATATCCACGAGCTTCCCCTAGAGAGATTGAACGAAAAAACAATATGTAATGCAACCTCTAACCTGGGGAGAGTGCTAGAGGTTAAGCTGGATGCAAGAGGTGCTAGTTCTTGCAAAGTAGGAAGAGCTGGAGTGCATATGAATTTGGTAGCCACGTTAAAGCCAGGTAGGGTGATGAATTTTTCAGGGAAAAAATGGTGGATAGACTTCAAATATGAAAGACTTCCGCATTATTGCTATTCGTGTGGAAGGATTGGCCACTATGCAACTCACTGCAAAGATATACCATACAAGGAATCGAGATTAGAGGAAAATATTGGGGGACGTTTTGGCCAATGGCTGAAAATGGAAGCTTGAGAATATAACCCCTCTTGGAAAGTGTTCTATGGTAAAGAAGTCCCCTCATTTGAGGAGAATGAGACGATCCCGGAAACACCGGAACACTCTGTTCATAATGCAGTGGTAATGCAGCAGGACAATGTGGAAGTTCTGGCACCACAGCAAGGTGGCTTTCAACAAGCTGACTCGACACTTAAAAGGAAGCAAGATGACCTAGTAACATGCTTAGAAATTGTACCAGCAGGTAATCAAGATACTCAGCTTATGCTATTGGATTATTCAAGACCAAACATAATCATGAAGGATGACAGCAAGTTTGCAAAGAAAGGTAGAAAAGGGCCAAAAACTCCAAGGGCAAAGAAACTGAAAAGGTTTAATCGGTATGATGGTCAAGGAGCCAGCTCTCACTCCTTTGACGATACTAAGTTACATGATGCTCCTATTCAGTTTGCAGGAGGGTTGTTTGAATGGACTTTGGTGGCTAGCCCTAATAAGCCACCGGGTGACATATGAAACTTTTGTGTTGGAATTGTCAAGGTTTGGGCACACCCCTGACAATCCAGGCTTTGCGAGCCTTAGTGGCTCATGAAAGGCCCGTCGTGATGTTTCTCATGGAGACAAAAAATAAAGAAATAGTTGTAAAGCGGCTGAGGAGAAATCTCAATTTCCAAAGTTCTATGGTAGGGAATCCAAATGGAATTGCAAGGGTGTTAATGGTCATGTGGAATGAGGAAGTGTCTTTGGAGTTGGAATCTAGTTCCGGGGAGTATGTCGATATGAATTGCAAGGAAACAGGAAGTGGAAGGACCATGAGAATGACATTTCTACATGCACCTACAAACTTACAAGATAGAATCTTACTTTGGGATCATTTAAAGAGTATCCATTCTAGAAATCTTCTTCCTTGGGTGTGTATGGGGGACTTCAATGAGATACTTTACTATTGAGAGAAGAATGGAAAAAGACCGGCGGACCATTACAGGTTAGTTGCATTTCAAGAATTCCTTAACTATTATTCTCTAATAGATGTTGAAAGCAAGGGATGCACCTTTACTTGGGCAAACAACAGGGATGGGATGCATTAGTTAAAAAGAGACTCGATAGAGTCCTTTGCAATATGGACAGGAGAGTCATGTTTCCTGAAGCAGAAGCCTTTGCATTGCCAGCTATTGGATCAGATCACAGTCCTATTCTTCTTTCACTTTACTCCGATCCAGTGAAAAGGAGAAAAGAATTTAAGTTTGAAGCTTACTGGTTGGAGGATGAGGAATGTAAAGAAATAGCATCAGCAGTATGGGATGACCCAACTTTGTGCCGGGAGAGCCTCGTAAGTAAGCTTAAAAAGGTCTCGGATGAATTGGCAAGTTGGAGTAAAAAGAAATTTTCAAATGCCTATCGCCAAATTGAGACTCTTAAACAGCAGCTAACCGAGATTACTAATAACAAAAATGAGGGATCCAGCAAAGAGAAAATTCAGGTGATCACACGGAAAATTGAACAACTATAGAGACAGGTGGAGATGTACTGGAGCATGCGGTCTAGAATTAATTGGCTAAAATGGGGAGATAAAAACACCAAGTACTTTCATGCCTCAACTGTTCAGTGAAGACAAAGAAACAGGATTTCTATGCTTAAGATTGGAGGAGATAATTGGTGCCGTAATCCCAGCTTGTGAAAACAACATGCGGTTGAGTTTTTTCAGACCCTATACAGCACAGTGGGAGATAGGGAATTTCAACCAATACTAGACCAATGTCCCTGGGTGGTTCAAGAAGGAATGAATAAAGAATTAACAAAGAAAGTGACCATGAAGGAGGTGAAAACAGCAGTATTTCAGTTGGGAGCCACGAAAGCTCCAGGTCCTGATGAATTGAATGGCCAATTCTATCAACATAATTGGGATATTATCCAACAGGATGTACTCAAACTGGTGGAAAATTTCTTTGAGTCAGGTACCTTTGATCATAGGTTGAATATGACTCATATTTCATTGATTCCTAAAGTGCCTAATCCTGAGAGTTTGAACCAGTTTAGACCCATAAGTATATGTAATTTTGATTATAAGATCATCTCAAAGGCGATGGCTAATCGTCTAAAACCGTACCTCTCCGATCTTATTGATAGGGAACAAAGTGCTTTTGTTAACGGTAGACAAATCCAGGACAACATATTGATAGTCTTGGAAGTTCTCCATCAGTTAAGGATCAGGAAAAGAGTGAAGAAATTTCAGGCAGTTTTAAAGCTAGATATGCAAAATGCATATGATTAGGTGGAAGAATGGGATTTTCTAGGAGCATGGATGTCTAAAATGGGGTTCTGTGATAAGTGGGTATTAATGGTCATGAAGTGCATCTCCTTGGTCACTTTAAGTGTGAAATTAAACGAGGAACCCCTCGAGTACTTTCAGCCAACTCGCGGGATTAGGCAGGGAGATCCTTTATCTCCTTACCTATTCATAATTCTGGCCAATGTCCTCTCTCATCTTTTGAATAGTTCAGTAGAGAATGAAAGTATAAAAGGAATTCGGCTCAATAGATTTTATCCAACACTAACTCATTTGTTGTTTGCTGATGATGCTATCTTCTTCCTTGACGGAAAAATCTCAGAATGTCAGAATTTGGCTGCGATTTTGAACCAATATTGCTTCGCTTCAGGGCAGGCGATTAACTTGAACAAGTTCGGAATTTATTTCAACACCGGCTGCCCACAGGATCTTAGAAGGAATATGGCCTATGAATTGAGAGTACCAGTTATTGAAAAGACAGGGAAATATCTAGGCATTCCCTCATATTGGGGTCAATCAAAAAAGCAAATGTTTGATTGGATTCTGGCGCGAGTGAACATGAAATTGGAGGGTTGGAAAGAAAAGTTAATGTCGAAGGCCAAAAAGGAAATCTTAATCAAAATGGTCATGCAAGCTCTTCCCCAATATTCAATGTCCATATTTAAAATCCCAATTAGTGTATGTAAAGCCATTGAGAAAAATATCGCATCATTTTGGTGGAAACAGAATGATACTCGAACTGGACTTCATTGGAAGAAATGGGAACACCTCAAAGTAAGGAAAGATAATGGAGGGTTGGGATTTCGAGATTTAATAACCTTCAACAAGGCGATGCTGGGCAAACAAGCTTGGAGGCTTTCGCAATCGCTTTCAGCCCTATGGAGTCGTCTTTTGAAGGGTATCTACTACCCAAGAGGGCATTTGTGGAATGCAGGTAAGGGATCCAGGCCTTCATGGGGATGGCAAAGCTTATTGATGGGTAGAGACTCTATTGTAAATGACGTACAGTGGTCAATGGGTGATGGAAAAACAATATGCATTCAGGAAGACAAGTGGCTAACAGCTGGGGTGATAGGAGGATCGGAAAATCAGGGGTACCCCCGAATGGTGAAGGAGCTGAAAAATCAGGAAGATATGGTTTGGAATGAACAAAAACTAAATGATCTTTTTCAAGAGAACATAGTGGATGAAATTATGTCCATACCACTGAGCAGAAATGCAGGAAAGGATAAACTGGTGTGGAAAGGAAGTAAAGATGGGACCTTTACTGTTAAGAGTGCATACAACAAGCTACAATCTGAAGCACAGCAGCAAAACACAACTCAAGCATCCTCTTCGTACCAAGTCCCCCGAACACTATGGACCAAAATATGGAAATTGAACTCCTATCCCAAAATTCGACTGTTTTTATGGAGTGCATGCCAGAACGCAATCCCAACAAAAGAAAATCTTTACTAAAGGAAGGCTTTACCTGACCCTATATACCAATTGTGTCACCGGATGCCAGAAACAGTAGAACATTTGTTTCTATTATGCCCCTGGATTGAAGCGATTTGGGAGGATCCCAAACTGAAAATGAAAATTATGGAGAACAGGATTACGAGAATGGATTCGTGGGTTCACCAACATTTCGAAGTAAACGAAAACTCACAGAGGAGAGAATTACTGGCTAGAGTATTATGGTCGCTTTGGAAAGCAAGAAACGCCTTCATATTCCGATCTTGAAAACTGGATCCTACCTCGGTGGTGGATGAAGCCTTTGCTCTGTAGGAAAGTTTCATGAGGTGGAATCAAGTGGCGAACCGTAAGAATGATGATCCACAAACTCTACCTGCAAAGTGGATTAAGCCACCGAGAGGGGTATTGAAATTCAATGCTGATGGGTCACGGACAAAGGGATCGACGAAAGGATCAATTGCTGGAGTGTGTTAGGACTTCAGCGGCGTAATTATCGACGGCTTCGTGAAATCTTGTCGAGCTTCATCCGCGATCAGAGTGGAAACCGTAGCTCTAGCCGAAGCTCTATCCCACGTGAAAAGTCTTCGTGATCTATAGGGGGCAACTAATCTGCACTTTCAACTGGAAAGTGATAGCGTAGCACTTGTTCAGTTCATTGAGGGAGCTGTTCAAAGCCCATGGCACATACAGGCCTGGGTAGAAGATTGCAAGATTTTGTTGGGCTAGTTTTAGTCCGTCAGCATAGCCCATTGTCCAAGAGAGGCAAATCATTTAGTGGACTGGATTGTTAAAGCCCATCGTAAAATGACTCTTCCTTCGGACTGGTTGTCTAATTCCCTGAAGTTTCTGTTAGATTTGCTTTGTTTAAATATGTCACATATTCTATCCTAGCTAATGAAATGAATATTACCTTTGAACAAAAAAAAAAGTACTCAATTCAATGATTTAAAAATACCCTTTTGATATTCAGTCTCTCTAGATCCAAACTGTCGGCATTGGCAAGCTGTGGTTTAGGACAAACGTCATAATTCGGTACCACGAATCGGTGTGTAGTTCCTGGTAAGCCATAAAAAAAATCTTAAGTGTCATCAGATCGATGCACCTGGAGATTCCGGAACTACAGGAAACGACAGAGTGAAGATAGTCTTGATCTTAGGATTGTGTCCGGAAGCTGTCAGGTCAGTGATTAGTTCGACTAATGACTTCATTACAGCGGTAAGAAAGGAATCATTTTCTCGGTAACACCAACAAACATTATTATCGTCACATGACTATGATCAACTCATGATTCCCTTTTTTTTCTCTCCTTAATCAGCGGAGTACTTTCGACCAAAAAAAAATAAATCAGCGGTATTTTGGTGATTAAGATCCTTAAAATCTTGAAATGGCTAATTTTTTGAATTTGGTTTACACCCTTAACAATTAACACACCAGGATGCTTGATTTTATTAAGGGATAATGACATAAATAGTCTCTGAACTTTGGTCCAATGTGCAATGTGGTCCCTGAACTTTTGGTACATGTTTAAACTAGTCCATAGACTATATGAAAATGTATCATGAATGACAATATTGAGTAATTTTAGATATAGTATACGGACTAATTTAAACATATACTAAAAGTTCGAGGATTATATTGAACGAATTAAATATTCAGGGACCACATTGAATATTTTCATATAGTTCAGGGACTAGTTTGAAGAGACCACATTGAATAAATCAAAAGTTCAAGAATCACATTACACATTGAGTTAAAGTTCATGAACCATTTATTTCTTTTTTCTTTTTTTATCAACTAAGATGTATTCCCTTTTTTTTTGTTTTTTCTTTTTTCCTTAGTTCCTTGCAAAAGTTTGTGTGCATAATCGACCAAGCCTCTCTTTCTCCACGGTATTCGAGATCAATCAAAGATTGCTCACAACCTCCAAAACGAGGTTGCTGGCTGGGTCACCTTAGGCGAGCAACCTCAATTGTCGCTTTCGGTCAAGCGACGGAGATGGCGGTCGAGTGATCGATGGTGGTCGCACCAACAATAGAGCAAATCTGATCTTTGTTTCTTCCGGCACAAGATTTGGTGAGATGATGAAGTTCTGAAGCGTGTGAACTCACTTTCTAGTAAGTGAAAGATTGATTAAGACCGATAAAACCTAAGGAAGAAAGACTTTATTAGTGCAAGGGAAATCCTATCTCTGAATTATCTCAATTAAGTGTGAAATCAGCTTGATCAAGCTTCGAGTAATTGTCAAAGAACGTGCTGATATGTGCGTTTCATACGACATATTCAAATCATATAATCCATTCGGACTTTCAAAGAAAATGCTTCTTGCGAGACCCACAAGGAGTTTTGACTGATCGATTATAAAGCTGTGTTATAATAATCTCACATATGAGACGTGTTAGATTTATCTTCATTTATGTATTTTCTTTCCTTTTTCCTCGTGTATATTGTGAAGAAATTCGAAAATATGTGGAACAACCTACCAACAATTTGACTTGTAAGCGGGCATCTGGCCTTAAGCTTTGGCATGAAATTTTATTTCAAAGAGGGAGACAAATGATATATATTTACAGATCTTATTTTCTTGTATCACGAAAAATAATGCATAATTTCCAATTGATCCATCTAAGAAGCTTAAGTTTGATAGGCATATAGAGGCATGACTAGTTATTTCCAAAACCATAACTCGATCTCTAACACGGAAACAAATACTGGGGTAGTTTCGATGGCCAAGAAATATGATATCAATCCAATTTTCTGATATCTTAAACTTTCAAAATTAGTCCCGAGCAGTGATGTCAACACTCGAACCCCAGGCCCCGGCTTCCCAAACCCACATCTTTGTAAGGCTCTGTGTCCTGGTTAATTACCCAGATTCAGCTTCTTGTCTTTGTGCCATTGTTTCATCAATTAGACTGACATATCATTTTGATCATAGTATGGTTTCATTCACGTATGATTGTGTACACATCACAAGTAATACAAAAAAACCCTTTTTCCCTGGATCGAATTTCTCAATCCTCAAGCATCTTTTGGGAGCCGACTAACGTTAGGGTTTCGTAGCCGATCCATGATACGTATGAACTGATGGAATCTTGGTCAACGTTAATACAATCTAGGCTGGATTCGCAGCTTTCTCTTGTGTGTGTGTGTGTGTGTGTGGTTGTGATTTTGTAGCAATCTTCCAAGTTTAGAATTTGACTTTGACTTTGATTTTAAGCATTGACTGAGGAAAAGTTCGCAACGTCTAATTTTCTACTTCTCAGCCGGAAAAACCTCACTCCTAAGAGTCAGAATCTAAAATGGAGAAGCAGAGAAATCCCACCAAATCTAACTGTTAATTCTGACCTTAAAATCCTAATCTAACCCATGATTTTTCTCTTACGTTAGAATTTTGGGTTAATATCACTAAACATTCTAAATCGATATATTTGTGATAAATTTACCTAAAATTAATTTATTGACCAACAAAAATCCCAAACTTGTACATTGTGACAAATTTACCCTCCGTTAGTTTCAATTAAATTTTATTATCAAATTACTGAGTTTGATGATACGTGACTGTTAATGGGTGTACCAATTTAGAGTTTTACCCTCCATTTATCATAAGTGTACCGGTTTGTGATTTTTCGTTGTATTAATCTAATTTAACGGAAACTAACGGAGGGTAAATTTATCATGGATATACCAGTGTGAGACTTTTGGTAGTCAAAAAATTAGTTTGAAATAAATTTATTATGGATGTATTAATTTGAGATTTTTCATGATTAAAAAATTAATTTTTAGTAAATTTATTACATGTATATGAATTTAATATTTTTCGTGATAATACCTCTAGAATTTCCAGCCATAATTAAGGTCATTGTCTCGAGGCAATGACCACATCCCAACGTCATGCCTGCAGGTCAAACGTATGTGGTGACGGTCGCCTTGAGTAATTTGAGCCATACATTAACGACCACAAAATTTTATTTAATCTTATTCAATTGTGCTTTCCTTATTACGGCAAACGTGTCCTTCGGTTTGCGGTCAATGTACGGACCTGTATGGTCAAAAATTTTATTTAATCTTATTCAATTATCCTTACCATCAAAATTATTGGCCTGCTGATAAAAGATGTCACTTGCCTCTTTACGAAGCTACTAGTTCAACTCATAATGTTAGTAAAATTCTTAACGGCTTGCACTGTGTTGCCTAACTATAGCATACCTCATGTTAGTGAGGCTCCGGTGACGGGGTCACCAACTTTGAACCTCCGAGTCACGGATGCTGCAAAATAATTATAACTCAAATCAAACATTAAGTAGTAAGAGCAAAACCCTCATGTAATGCTCAAAATAGATTAAACGTCGATCACTCCTTTCAAGAAAAGTTAAGATAATCCTTTGAGGAGACGACAAGTGTGCGTGGCTTTTCAAGAGACGTGTCTAGCTACATGGTGCAGATGATACCGCGTGTCTCGAACTCACCACCACAAGAGCTTCAAGAGGTTGGAAAACATTACCCCAATCGATCAAGAGAAACCCATGGAGGAAGGAATCGAATTTGTCTTTTGTCTCCTTGCCATTCCCTCTGTAGTGGTGGTGGGTACTTCTCTACTCTCATGTTTCGAGAATTGCGACAAGTTGGCTGGAGCCTTGTAAGGATTTGATCGATCGAAATGAACGTGTATATATACACACACACACACACACACACACACACACACACACACACACACACACATATATATATATATATATATATATATGTATGACATGTTAAATGGTCCCAATCCGAGTCGAAAGGGACACATGTATGTATGAACATCACTAAAATTCCATATTTCAATGTCGTGGGAGTCGGGACGGTTGATGTTTTAAAAATTAATATTACGAAAAATCATAAATTGGTATACATGTGACAAATTTACCCCAAACTAAATTTTTTACCACAAAAAATCTCAAACTGGTACACTTGTGATAAATTTACCCTCCGTCAGTTTCTGTTAAATTTTACCGTCGAATTGCTGAGTTGGATGACACGTGGCAGTTGATGGATGTACCAATTTAGGATTTTACCCTTCTGTTTGTCAAAGACTTACCAATTTATGATTTTTCGTGGTATAAATCCAATTTAACGGAGAGTAAATTTGTCATAAATGTACCAATTTGGGATTTTTAGTGGTCAAAAGATTAATTTGGGGTAAATTTGTCACAGGTGTATCAGTTTTGGGTTTTTCGTGATATCAAACCATGTTTTAATGACAATTTTTTGCAAGTTTACTTTATATTCATTTTGGTTAAGGTTTAGGGTTCAAATCGAGACGCTTCCCCGAAAAGAAGTTCTTTGACAAATTAATCTCGATTAATTGTTACTTAAACTTTTTTGGTGACGCCAAATTATTTAATAAGCTTGATTTAGTGAATTTAGCCGAGCCTTGTGGATTACTGTGTGTTAATATCTTGCTTTATATTTCTAACTTTTGTTTCATTTGGTCGTTTTTTTCTTAGTATAATGCTTTCATAAGAATTCTTGAAGAATCGACAATGAGGTTTCCTTTTTGTACATGTGGTCATACAGCATCAATATGGATCCCTCATGCCTCAA